ATGTATGTATGTATGTATGTACCGACCATTACTGCTACGGCTGCCGCTGCTGCTACGGCTTATGTGCGGCTCAGTATTGCCATTGTAATGTTCCGCCGTTGCTGGGTTGTTGTTCTGCGGTAGTTAACTTTTGTTGGAACATGTTGCAAGACCAAATTCCAACATTTTGATGGACGATTCCTGATTTGATGGGGTCTGTTGGCTTCCTTTGCTGAGGTGTTGTCCCAAACATCGTGCTGGGAAAAGTCTTGTCTCTTCGTGGGAGGCTTCATCGCTCTTGTGCAGGGTGCCTGGACTGTAATAATGGTCGGGTTTGAATTCCAGGGCTCGAACTTCAGGACTGCATCTTGACAAACCCGGATGTCGTGTGCTCGAATTCATCGTCCTTGCTTGCCTGTTGTTGCTGTTCCCTGCCATTCGCTGCCGCGCAGGTCTGGGTAGAACGTGTCTCGAGACAAGGGCGAACCCCAAAGTCCGATTTTGGCAATTTCGGCCAAGCAGGAGCGGCGGAGCCCATCGTCGCCATGTTTATCGGCACCTGTGCCACTCAGCACAGATTGTGGCAGGATGTCGCTTCGGCTCTTTCGTTTGCAGGAGGTAAGGTACATGTCTTGAATCAAGTTATTTGATTGCAGTTTTTCATTGCAAGCTGTGTGCGAGCTTCACCTTCAGAAGATTTTTCACACAGTGAAGCATGCTGCTTGGCCTCAGTTCGATGTCATCAAGACGGCTCCCGCCGACGTCGTGCTCGAGGCACCTTGTGCGGCATGTGCCTGTGTCAAAGACTGGCATCTCAAACTCGGACCGGGCAGGAGATGCAGACACCTTTGCTCTCCATGGCGATCCTGGCTGCTTCGACTGTGTGTCGGGGTTACAGTTTCGGGGTTTGCGGAGATTGAGAAGCAGTTCTTGGCCAGGGTCAAGGTTAGTAATGAAGGCTTGCTTGCCAGGCATTGATTGGCATAGCTTTGAAGGTGCACTTGTGTGTCTGCGTGTGAGTTGATCGAAGATCTAGGCTGTAAGCAGGTTTTCTTCTATGTTGCCCACTGTGGTAGCAGGTGTGAGGGCCGTGCTTAGCCTATAACAGCTGGAAATGGGAGCTTGGTTCCTTGTGTTTCGTTTCGCAACCGCTGCAGCGCTCGTATCTTCGATATCTCCATGTTGCGAGGGCCCAATGCCCGGCCTTCTCACACAGGGCATGCTGTGAAGACGCAGGTTGATGCTCAAACCCGCCAGGCCAGTGCATTCCAAACCTGAAGAGGCTTCCGTGCAACTCGTGGAAAGGCTAGGAAGCGACCCAGGCGCTGTCCGTCTTTTTCCTCGCCTTCCTGTGGCAGACGCTCCTGCCCCTTGTTCCGAAATACTCGCGGATCTGCTGCCACTGTTCCGCCTCCTGCGCTTGTCAGACATTCCAACGCTTAGATGGCAAGCGGAAATCACACTCTGCTGCTGCTGCTGCTGCGGCAGCAGAGCTTTGGAGACTTGAACCTCCCAGATCTCTCAAGGATGCTCGCCGCAAGCCAGCAGGCTCTGCGCTGGCAGGTCCGGTACCTCAAATCGTTGCTCTTTGGCTGCTTTTTAGCCTAGCAACTGGCGGAAGTTGTAGCATGGCTCCGTGCACCGAAGCCTCCAGGCTCTCTTTAGACATCACCTGGTTCGACGAGAGTGATGCGGCGGGCTTGTCTTCAAAGCCCCTGGGCGCAGATCTGGCGCTCACCCGGCTTTGGGACTGTGTTTCAGTACATTCAGTACCTATCGTCTTGACGACAGAGACGAATATCACCGCAGTGGTCTGGGCGGCTTACCTGGGGGTGTTTCTTTTGTGCATTTTGGCTTCCTGGCTTCACCGGCTTGGTTTCTTGGCTGGTTCGTGGCTTCTTGACATCTTGGCTTCCTGGCTTCTCGGCTTTCTGGCTTTCCGGCTTCTTGGCTTCTCCCACTTCGTGGCTTCGGTTAGGTCCAGAGTCTAGAGTCTAGAGGTGACCCCCATCCCACAGAAGAAGGAGGAGGAGGAGGAGGAGTAGTAGTAGTAGTAGTAAAGTTTAGGGATACTTGACGGGCCTCACTCCAAGTGAACTGAGGGCTTTCTAGGGTTGGAGGGGAGATCCATGGGAAACTCGTAGGACTTATGAAATCCAGAGGAAACCCCGAACAAACTCATGGACTCTAGTGTTTAATCAAAAAGAGTTCTTGTATAGGGAGTCCAAATGATCTATTTACTTAAACTGGGGCCCGTACTATGTTTAGGAAGAAAGAACGCTGTTGATCCGTCGGATAAAATTTACTTGCAGGCCTCGGCACATCCATGGCATGCACAGAAAGCAAGACACACATGCCCATGTAAGTATACTGTAGTAGACTATGTGTGTAGTATACTATACTGTAATTTTGATATAGCATACCACCGTGCATCATGAGCAGCAGATGGACAGCCGGGCGGGGAAAAAGGGGAGCAGCTGATGTGCATGATGCATGAGCATCAGGTGGTCCGGCTGGGCGTGGCCGAAAAGTTGCGCGAAACGGCGAAACGACCGTGACAAGACGTGTGTACTCGACACTGTCGGCCGACCAGGGGGTGATGATGCTGGTACCGGGGCGTCGGAAATTGTGACCGATGATGCTGAAACAGGGCACCAATGTTCTCACCCCCCCATGTACTATTCTCCGCCCCGCAACTCCAAGATGCTGAAAGGCGCTTTCCGTCATTGGAATTGCCCAAAGTTTTTGCCGCAAAGCAAATTTTCAGGACCGAAAGCAAAAAGCAACCAAAACAAACACACACACACACAGAGACAGAGGCAATGTGACTGTTGTTGTTGGGTCAACTTTTGTCGAAGCCAAACCAGCTGCTGTACCCAAGCCTTATGGCCCTGCCAGCAGCAAACGTTTGACTTGTATTCTAATGTGCCGGAATGTCCAAGGTGAAGTGCATGAAGAAACCCGAACCTCAACTTGCCATTGGCAATGACACCTATCCTTCGGTTCCAGCGAAGATCGGCCGACAATACAATGCCGAGACTAACATGCAAGCGACCACAACCTGAAGGTATGCATGCAGCTGGGCCGAGTTGCGAACAACAACAGAACATATGATACGGAACAGCAGCAATGTGGAATATTGCCATGTGGCAAAATGCGCGTGCCGGCAAACTGTGCCCACGCTACGCCTGCAAAGCGCATGTGGGGAAAATGTGGACGCGTGGAGATGACCCGCATGCGGGATTCCTGTTCTCAGCTGCAGCTTCCCGCATGGTTTTCGAGTCACAATACATTGGCAGGCTACACCCTCTTCTCAGGTGCCGCAAGCTTCACCCCCAAGTGTCCTGAGGCTTCAGAGCGATGTCGAGAACGTGCACTTCTTCATGTCCATGGGCCTCGGATACTTGATCTCCGGTGTCGGTACCTTGACTGTCATTTCGGATTCTCTTTTTGGTCGGCACCTTCTCGCTGGGGCACCCAGGCCAGTTTGTGGCCGGAATCACCGTGGCCATGATTCATGGACCCAGGCTGACACTGTCTGTCTGTGCCTTTCTGCCCCTCCTATTTTGTGCGGGCCGGAGCATGGGCCAGCAGCTCGAACGACAAATGGGCAGACAGCAGCAGGACACACATTTTGGACAGCAGATGTGTTTGAGTTGGAACTTTCTGCAAATGTGAGACGTGTGCTCGGCAGGATTTTGCCAAGGCAGCCGCTGTGGCGAAGGACTTCGGGACAGCTGGATAAAGTACGGCAGGCTGTCAGCTGCATTCGATACGTTTAACGAACGTGCCTCCAGCCATGAACCGGTGAAGCCTCGTACAAGGAGAGCCTGATGGGCATTCGCACTGTGGCGGCCTTCGGGGGCGAGCTGCGACAACAGGAGCCAACAAGCTGAGCACAACACCTGTTCGGGATTCCGGGGTTTGCTGTCTCGCCCAAGCCAGAGACAGCCTTGGGCACCGAAGGAGCTTTTCGCGAGCCAGCTGATGCAAGCCCGGGACGGGGGAATCCGCGCTGGCGTGAAGATCGGCTTGTCCTGGGGAGTTCTTAACTTCATCTTTGCTTCACTCTATGCAGTCACACTCTATGTCGGGGGCCACGGCCTTCTGACCGGTGCCACCAACAAGCAGGGTGGAGACGTGGTTACCGTGCTCATTTCGCTGATCACGGGCATGGGCGGCGTGAACTCCTTCAGCGGCTATCTCCCCACGATGACCAAGGCCTTGGCTTCCGCGGCTGCACTGAAACTAGGCCGAGGAAAGCTGCCGAAGACTGAAGCCCTTCACACCGCTGCCATCCTTCTAAAGCAGTGACCAGGCCAGTGTACACCCCCACGAGCAACCTAGTTCCAGCTTGAGCTTCGAGTAGGCTAGCATGGGGTTGCGGGCTCGGGCACAAGGGTTGCTACATGTTTCCGAGGCGCACCGCCACAAAGGCATCTCTGCGGGGGTTTAGAGTCTAGGGGTTTGGTGGTTGAGGGTCCATGTCCCATGGCCCTGGCCCTGGCCCCCTCTCTGTCTCTGTCCCAGTCTCTGTCCCTGTCCCTGCCTTTGTCTGTCTGTCTGTCCCTCTCTCTCTGTCTCTCTCTCTCTCTCTCTCTCTCTGTGGCTCTGGCTCTGTCTCAGTCTTTCTCCCTGTCTCCTTGTCCCTGTCTATGTCTTTGTCTCTGGCTCTGTCTCTGTGTTCGTCTCCGTCTCTCTTTCTCTCTCCCTCTCTCTCTCGCTCTCTTTCTCTCTCTCTCTCTCTTTCTTTCTCGCTCTCGCTCTCTCTCTCTTTCTTTCTCTCTCTGTTTTCTTTCTCACATGTTTTCGTTCCCTTTCCTTTTCTTTCTCACTCTTTTTCGTTATCTCTCTTTTTTCTTTCTGTGTCTTTTTCGTTATCTCTCTTCTTCTTTCTCTTTCTCTCTCATTCTCTCTTCTCTCTCTTCTTCTCTTCTCTCTCTTCTCTCTCTTCTCTCTTCTCTCTCCTCTCTCTTCTCTCTGTCTTCTCTCTGCCTCTCTTTTCTCTATCTCTCGCTCTCTCTCCCTCTCTGTTATTTCTTCTCTCTCTATCTTCTATCTTCTCTTCTCTCTGCTCTTGTCTCTCATCTTCTCTTCTCTTCTCTTAGCTGCGCTTCTCTCCTCTCCTCTCCTCTTCTCTTCTCTTCTCTTCTCTTCTCTTCTCTTCTCTTCTCTTCTCTCTTCTCTCTCTCTCTCTTCTCTCCTCTCACTTCCACTCTCACTCTCACTCTCACGCTCTCCCTCACGCTCTCGCTCACGCTCCTTCTCACGCTCACGCTCATATGTCATATACTCACGCGTGACACGCACACCCGCGCGCACGCACACCCGCACGCACGCACGCGCGCGCGAACACCCGCCCGCCCGCCCGCCTCCCCGGTCCGCCCCCGCCCAGCACCGCCCCGCCCCGGCCGCTTGCGCGCGCGCCGCCACGCGCACTTTTATGCGACGCACTCAAATTACTTGCGCACGCACTTACGGCACTTAGGGACTTATTACGCACGCACTTACTACGCACTTACGACGCACTTACGCACTTACGCACTTTTACGCACTTACGCACTTACGCACTTACGAACTTATACGCACTTATACTTACACACTTACTTACGCACGTATACTTACGCACTCACTTACGCACTTATACTTTCGCACTTACTTACGTACTTATACTTAATCTTACTTACTTACTTACTTACTTACTTGCTTACTTACTTACTTACTTACTTACTCACTCACTTACTTACTTACGTACGCCCGCACGCACACACGCACTCACGCACGCACCCACACACGCACGCACGCACGCACGCACGCACGCACGCACGCACGCACGCACGCACGCACGCACGCACACACACACACACACCCGCCCACACGCACTCCCACAGGCACACCCACAGGCACACCCACAGGCACACCCACAGGCACACGCACACGCCCACGCACACGCCCACGCCACCCACACACCCACACACCCACACACCCACACACTCACACACCCACACACCCACACACCCACACACCCACACACCCACACACCCACACACCCACACACCCACACACCAACACACCAACACACACACACACAAACACACACACACACAGACAGAGACAGAGACAGAGACAGAGACAGAGACACAGACACACTCTCTCCCTCCCTCCCTCGCTCACTCACTCACTCTCTTTATGCAGCTGTTCGTGTGCCTTGTAGCGGTGGTCGTCCAGAGGCTGGAAGGGAAGGTGTTCATCCAGGTCCTGGGCTTTGCTTGACAGGCCCGGAAGATGGGATTCCGTTTGTTCTTCTGTGACGATTTGAACCCGTCAACATGAAGACCCCAATTCAGGTTTGGATCGATGGCAGTAGCTTTGAGGACCAGCAGCACTCCGACAGCCTGAGCCGAGAGGGGAAAGGACACTGCTTAGGACCGAAGATGCCCTCCCGGTTTTGTTGGCCAACACGACTTGGCGAGAACCAGCTGGCTCTCTGGGGCTCGTGCGATTGCAACGGGAGACCTGGGCATGGGCACTGTGCAGGAGGCTCGCGCGAGCTGTTCTTGGTATGCTTAGCCGTTGCCATCTATTGGTCTAACAACCGACATGCATGTCACAACAGTTGGGAGTTGGGATTTGCAGACGCAATCTTGCGCCCCGATCCCCGCCTTCCACAGGACTTGCCAACAAGTGAGAAGAGCGTGTGCAATTAAGGGCGAGGTGGAATAGACTATAGAACGAATAACCAGCAGCGAAATAGAGGGTGCAGTACCGCAGCGCTCATTCAGAAAAGAGAAACTACTGACGGTTAGGGCGGAGTGCCATTGCAGGTGGAGTGCTTTTCGGTACAGAACGAAGACAACTATGTCAGCGGAGACGCTGTGGCGGGAGCAAGATGCACCAATATTTACGAAAACAGAAAGCGCAAAAGCAAAGGAACTTGCAAGGAAGTCCGCATCCTGTCAGCACGAGGCCGGTAACCGTGCCCATGAACAAAGACCAAAGGTTGGCCTATCCCAAGACCCTCCGTTTAATAGAGACCCGAAAACTTACGGTTGGGTGGCTCTTTGGTGTCGGGCTTTCACCGAAGACGTTCACAGCGCCCCAGCTGGAGCTACGGAAGTGATGAATGCGACCGGCGCGGCTCGCGCGCTCAGCAACAAGTTCCTCTACGCCTAACTGAAAAGCCCATAGTGGGATGATGCTGTTTCGGGAGAAGGATGGAGAGGGAACTGGCAACCTTTCACAGGATGACTGGCGCGAGGCGATGAATGAGACCAAGCAACTTACAGACTCGAAGTCTTCAACATAATCGAAAATGCAGAAACACTGGTTCACATGATTATCTTGACGAAATCGGTGTAACACTACGCCTGAATTGAGCACGCAGAAACACTGTCTAAGGATTTTTCGGATCCTGTCGGCATTTTGCAGAATGCTTGACGAATACGATTGAAAGTCAGCCGTGACCCTGCGACAAACCGCCACGAGAGATGTCACCAAATGCTGGGCAAAGTCCTTTCTTGGGGGTCTTGGTGCTTGGTGTCCATGCAGCTGCGTGAGCAGATGAGGGCCGCCCCCAAAGGTACACCGTACTCCGCTCTTTCTTCTTCCATGGCAGGCAGGAAGAGTTGTGAACGAATACATATAACTACTTATATAACCAGGTGGTGGCCCAAAACAGAAGACGACGGCTGACCACTGGAATTACAAAACCCTTTCAGCAGAACGTACTTACGCGCAGAATTACAGGAACCCGGCGATCCTAGACACCGGAGTTCTAATGTAGCCAGCAGCTAGACCCTGAGGACCACACACAATCACGGACGATGCTACCGTCCACAATGCGGAAATCATCCAATCGAAGGCGTCCTCGTAGCTGACGATAGCGTGGAAGCTGCACACCTCAGGAGCTCTGCAGTCTCTTCCTTCTCTTCGATGGTGGAAGACAGTTCGATTGCATGAAAAGGGGAGCAAACTTGTAACATAGTGCAGTTCTGCCCCAAAGCAACTCTAGTAGAAGCTCTGGGGTGTACACGGTGAACATGCAGAACAGGAAGTACATGGAAATGAATGTCCTGGCGACAAGGAGGACAATCCGAACACCTAAGATCACCTAAGAACACTTTGGTGCTTCAGCGCTTGCAGAGCCATCCGGATTCTTTCCTGCAGCTATGCTGAAACAGCTGTGCGCAAAGCCGCGGCGCAGAAACGTTCGAACCGGACTTCTGGGCCAGGGTGTACAAGTGCTCTGGGGTCAGTAGGTTGAGGCGTTGAGCTTGGGTTTCGAAGCCCGAATAAATCAAAGGGCCGCGTGTCAAAGTATTGCAGACGGACTGCAGGGAAAGACAACACCGAAGAGTAAAACAATCGTAACACACCCAATTGATGAAGAGGGTGCGCACGTTCATGTTGAAAAAAACGGGATCGTCGCAGGCTTCTGAACTCCGCTCCACTGCTATACGATGCTATATGCATAACCGGTAGGAGATGCTTTTGCTCGCCTCCTCCTCCTCCTCCTCCCCATCCCTGTCCCTCCTCCTCATCCTCAATTTCATCATCCTGGTCGCCAGCTTCATCGTCCTCCTCAGTCTCCTCATGGTCATAGGCATAAACATTGTGATCGTTAGAATCATCTTCTCACCATCATCGTCAATGAAAGCAAAGGCGGCGTGGCTGCGCATGAAAAGAGTGGGCGCATGAGGGACGAGGTCCCAGATATGACCACAGTTCTGCATTCACGGCAAACGCTGAGAGGTCCAGAAGATGATGTGCTGACTCTGCAACTCCAGGCCGCGGAGCTTCTCGAAAAGAGGCATCCTGGCAGCGAGGTTGTCGGGGCGTCTCAAGGCTTAGGATGAGCTCTCTGCGGTCACGTTAGGCAGTCTTGCATGTACTCGTGCTGCTTCTGCTTGAGCCGCATTGGATGCTGTTCCCAAGTGCGATGCAGGACCTCAAGCCTGACGTAGAAGGCCTTGCGATGTCCTGAAACCGAATGGTTGAATGGTTGAACGGCCCTTTATCCAGGACCCAGTGCATCGGAGCGTCAGGGCTAGGAATGGAAGTAGACCGACGACGGCAGAGACCCAGGCCACCACCTGGACTGGAGAGGAACACAAGATGGAGGCTGATTGCAACCCGGGCGAATGCTTCTAAGGTCCAGAAGCCCGTGTGTACAAGGCAACACCAAGAGAACCATGGCCCTTGCCCAAAGCAAGCACACTGGAGCATGCGAAGCCACAGGTCATAAATTAGTCATAACACAGCCTATGCTAATGGACACCTGGACCCGGAAATCCGAAGGTTCCCCGTTTCTTCTT